GATATTCAACATTCTAAGACAATTTAATTTGTGATTTAACATAAACTTGTCTTTCTAAAAAAAAAAAAAAAAAAAATTGAAAATAAAAAAAAATAAAGATGGCACGGGATGTGCTACAAACAATTCATTATGATCGTTTGCGTTCAAATAAATACGTATTATGTACCTTGAATCAAGAGAAAGTTTTACCTGAAGCCATTAAATTATTGGAAGAAAATTCAGCAAAAGCTATTGAAATGTTTACAAAGCTTAAAGAGATCTGTATGTTTTATTTTATTTTATTTTCGAATTTTCTTGTATTTTCATAAACTTGTTCAATTTTGTTTCTGTTTATTTAGTGATTTCTCCAGAAAATTTTAGAATTCATGTGAGTGGAAATATTCTGCAATTAAAAAATCCTAAGAGTACATGGGCAGAAAATTTCAAAATTATTTCGGTAAGTAGATAACACGCTTTAACCGAACAACATTTAATCTTATCACATATTTATGTAATATTGCTATATGTTTATGCGTCATTTTAGAGTACAAAGCCTTTGTCGCCTATTCCTTTACCACAAAATGTCTTGACTGAATCGGGACATAATCCTGGTAACAAGGTACATTTCCCGATATTATATTTTCATTGTTGATATTAAAAGTCAATTGACATTACATTTATGTTTCCGTATTTACATTAGGGATTCATTGTTAAACTTCCTGCTATTGAAAATAATTTTGCTATCCATGCAACAAAAGGTGGTCTAACATTTATTATTAACGTGACATCAAATGAAGTATTTGACAACAATCAAAAAATTTTTCTCTTATTTATTTAACAATTTCATATTTTATATTTAAGGCCCGAATACTTTTGACTCACCGGATCTAGCTCCTTTGCTTGTACTATGTGAACTTTTACACACAATGGAAGGTGTATTTTGGAGAGTAATTCGTGGTCAAGGATTAGCTTATAGCGTTTGGCTTAAAGTTGGCGTAGAATCAGGTTGGTTATTCTGATAACTTTTAATTATGTATTCACTTTCAATGAATTAATATTCATTTGGTTATTTATTTAAGGTCTTGTTTATTTTACCATATACAAGTCACCTGATGCATATAAAGTATATGACCAAGCTAAGAAAATTGTAGACGATCTAGCTTCTAAAAAGGTTCACTTTATTTGAGTGGATGTTATGGCAACATTCTGTATTATCTTTACTGATTATCCATCATTAATATTTGAACCATTTATAGGTTGAGTTTGATAAGTGTGAATTAGAAGGTGCAAAAAGTGGGGTCATTTATAGTCTTGTCAGTAGCGAGGTAATAAACAATTTAATCGTTTATTTTCATTATTATATTTTTTGGACTAATTTGGCAATGTCAAATCACAGGATAATATTCAAAAAGCGGTATACAGTAATTTAAAATTATTACTTCGATTATATTGTTCTAATATTGATTATTATATATTATTAATGAATTTATTGGTATTAAAAATTTGGTTTTCTTTAAAAATCATTATAAAACGTTTAGGCTACAGAATCGTTTGTTTTACAAGTTTTAAATAATACGAGTTCTAATTTTAATAGAGAATTGATTTCGAAAGTTCAAGTATGAATATTATTATTTCTATTTATTGTTCAATATATGTGTGGAAATAATATTTTATTTTATATCAAAAAAAAATTTAGGCTGTGAAATATGAAGATCTTCACATTATGCTAACGAAGTATATAACGAAATTATTTATGCCTGAAACTTCAAATGTTGTAGTTATTTCAACTCCTGGTAAAGTTAAGGTAATTATTCCATATGTTATTTATTATTTGTGCCAGTTAATTATAAGAGACAAATGGTCTTATTTGATCAACAAATGTCATTTTAATTATTGATACTTTATTACAATAGGATTTACAAGAAGGATTTAATTCTCATGGATTTAAGTTAGAAGTTAAAAGTTTAGATAAAGTTGTTATTTAAATCTGTTATCGTTTATGATTGGGTATTTATTATTGTATCAAAAATAGATATATATAATATTATTAGAAATAGGTTTTATATATAGGATCTTGCGAAATTTTGGTATAAGCTATACCTTGCCCGATCCCAAATCCACCCTTATCCTAACCATAAGCGAGGGTTTAATTTTTTGTTTGCAAAAATTGTTTTGATTAGTATGTTGTACGAATATGAAATTCAATAAATTATACCGTGTATAAACACTACGTGTAAACTAATAAATTTATAGAATTTTGCTACAGGTGATCATCACCGCTCTATTACATATTTATTTAAGGAACCGAAATTTAGAGTTAGGGTTAGGCAGGGTTAGAATAAGGAAGGTGAAATTATATATAAAATTTTGTGCTGAAAACTTTTAATTAGTGCACAAAGGTTCATTGCCATAGTAAAATAACTTGCTATCGATGTTTTTTGGTTTTTTTTGCTTAGTTTCGCTATTGTTTTGGTTACACGAGATCCTACGATTTGATTGGTCGAACATATGAGCGGTGATGATCACCTGCGGTGATTGGGGTGTTGCACATCAAATGATTTACTATCATAGTGCAGCACCATATATGATTGGCACTATGTAAGATTTTTTAATTTTTGTCGATCATTTTATTAAAAAAAATTCGCCATAGTAATTTATTATAAAAATTGCGTATCTTCAAAACGTTCTAACTCCTGCTCTAGTAAAGCAAATTCGATTCTGTAACTTGCAAACGATATATGAATAGTGTAGTTTTAAAACTATGTTGAGACATTTTTTAATTCATTTTATTAATATAGTTAAAAAACCAAATATTTTTTTAATTACGAATTTAAATAGTAAAATATTTTTTTTTTTTTTTTTTTTAGAAAGACAAGTTTATGTTAAATCACAAATTAAATTGTCTTAGAATGTTGAATATC